ATATGACTTCTGATCGCCTTGTTCAACTATGCCTTATGTCTTCCCTTGCCTATCTCCCCGTTCAGTACAATCAAGCAAGAGCAATCAGGTCGGCAACTCACCTCCATGCTGTTGCTTTCCCCTTCGCCTTCATGAGTCGCTTGACAATTGCTATGAGCGAACAAAGCACAACAAGGTTTTCGGTTTGAATCGCCTTGTTCGGGGTCTCTCCATTGTGCGCCCTTTTGGAGTTTAGATCTCCAGCAGGGTTATGTGTGATGGTGGTAGACTGGCGTGTGCGGACTGTGGGCATGGACTCTCTCTGTTCGGATTACAACTTTATCGTATTACTATCACGTACTAAGATGATATCCTTGAACAACAAGCTCATTGCGCTGCAGTTACATGACAAGGCGAAGTTCTTTAAGATAAAGCAGTGGCGTCTTGACAACATAGTGTACGCACGAACATACACCGGCTTCTCTGTTCGTATCTCCCAAGATCCGTCCATTACCGAACACGATGCCGATTCCCAGTTTCGTCTTTGAATAACATGATCAACCATCAAACGAAGTGAAAAAAAAGAAATTAAGCCGAACAGACGCTTTGAACGTGAATCGTTTGTCTGCCTAACAGCCAAGAGAGCACTAACAAGCTGGCCATCAATCTGTGGAAAAAGTCCAATCTGTTTGACGCAGCTAGACACTCAATCATTTGTTAGTATTATGCAACAAAAACGAAGCGTGTTTGGTCGCGCGGGAACAGCATCATATTAGGATAAGTAGTAATAACGAGGAAATGAAAAAAAGGGAGGTAGGCAGGCGGCAATCATCTATTTCAAGTAGCAAGTAAACGCTTCCTAAGCAGCAGTTTCCACGGATGGCTCGCTCTTTGTTTGCTTGCCGGTACGTCCACGTGGGGTTTCATGTGAGCTCTTGGTCTCATGCTCGTCTGAACTGTCGTCAATAGGGCTTTGGGGCCGGCTGTCGTTCAAATTGCGACGACTACGCGCCATCTACAGTCTCATGTTAGCATCTCATTCAACTCTCACAGATAAAGAAATCAACACGTACCCATGATCGTACACCTCCAATCAGACCGAGGTTGTAACCAGCGGTGAACTCTGATGATTCCCTCGAGGGGTTGTTCGCGCGCGGAATATCCAGATGACTGAGTCGTGAGAGTGCCGAGGGCGATCGAGCGGAGCCTGAGACATCCATGGCTTCGGCTTGCGAATGCTCCTTTGTAGGAGTTCTGGCCGGGCTTCCTGGTCGACTTGTTTGCCAGAATTGGCGGAAATCTCTGCTGAGTTCTATGCCGGTTGTGGTCCAGTTGGCCTTAATGCTGTCGCGCAGCTCCGCCATTGTACGCTTGACATCGAGCTCGTTCTTCTTCAGCCACGATACGTTGAGTTCCTTACGTGATGTTCCGCGCTTCAGTTGGCGGTCGATGTACTGGTCGTAATCTCGTACAATCCTATAATACATTAGCAGGCTCCTGACTGGTGGAAGTGAGACTCTTACTTGGTAATAATACCTGTTGTGCTGAGACCCTCTGTTCTTTGGGTGACGAGGAACATGCCTCGCTCCTTGATGGGACCGTAGATGTCATCGCCCTCGTCCGCTCCATATGGCAGATCGTCGTGAGCAACATAGTCGATGTTGTGCTTCAACAGGAACTCGGCCGTAACGATCCACGGACAATCTTCAATGACTTCGTCAACCCATTTGCAATGGCGTACGCTCTCGGCGCGCTCCCTTGCAGACAAAACCGTCAGACCCTTGCGCTTATGTGTCTCCTTGTTACCCGTGACACCGACCACCAGGTGGACGTCCGGAAAGGCAGTCTTGGCCTGTTGAAGCGCACGCATGTGACCAAGGTGGAACAGGTCAAAAACACCATCTGCGTATATCCTGACCGGGCGCCCCTGGGGCGGAGGGTTCGTCTTGTAACCGACGGGATCGACCAGACCGGCCTTTGGAGGAGGCGGCATGCGCATAGATTCGGCCTCGCCTGCCTCGCCATGCTCGCTGTCTGGGGATGATGATGTGCGGCGGCTCTTCTTGCTGGCGCGCTCCTCGTCGTCCTCGCCGTTGTGGAGGCCGTCTGCTACACGTACTCGCTTGGCCGTGCCATTGGTGTCGGCCTGGCGCTCCTTCTTGGACGCGACGGCCTTGAGCACAGGATCTACGGTGCCCTCGTCGGATGCATCGCGAGAAGAGGGTTGGACGGGGTCCATGGCGTCTTGCTTGACGGAGTCTACGGCCGTGGTTCGCTTTCGTTTTGGTGGCATAGGCGGTGGCAGATGGGTGCAGGCGGTGAACCAAGCAACGAGAGGGGGAGGGCGACTATGGGCGCAACGTCGTTCTTCTTACAGAACACGCGCTCTTGGCGAAAATGCGTTGGGATGGAAGCGACCGCAGGTGTGGGGTGGAGGAGACCGAGGAGCTTTGTGATGGACAACGCGCGGTCCTGATACGCGGAAGACGTGGGTCGGATTCCGAAAGCTGGAGCTACAGTGACCGCTACCAAGGGGGCTGCTTAACGGGTGAAGGAAGGAGAGAGGTGTCGAGAGGGCGACGCGGCCGGGCTCACCAGGTGTAGGCAGAGCACAGAAACAAGACAGACAGGCAAAGTGGCCAGAAGAGTGTGCACAATCGCGACACAGTGGGCAAATAAGCGTCGTCAGATACGCGTAGATTACACCTCGCATCTTCCCATAAATTTCGCACCGCTTCCCTGATCCTAATCGCGATCGCCCTCTTGGCATGACGAAAGTTCACCCGCCGCCCCCTGCGCCACAGCACCGCATACCAGCAATTGCCAAAGCCTGCCCACGTGTGGCATTGCCCATTCTGATTCCTGCATTCTGTAAGATTGGCCTTCTTCCCGTCCCCTTACTAGAAGTACAACACGGCCGCTACACCAGAGCCTGCAACGCGCCACGCTCGACAAGCACGCGATGACGACTTGTAATCGATCCAAGCCATCAACTCAAGCCCACTGCCGTCTGGAGCCGCCAGTGACCTTAATTTGCGGCGCGTAGACCGCAAGTCTGCATTTACTACTCGCTACGAGGTCCGCAAGTTTAAGTAAAGAGAATAAAAAAAGAGCACATGAGGTCATACGATGTGGTGAGACGAGACAACAGGGCTTGACTGCTTGCGGTAATAGGCCTGGGCCTCATGTTCCTGCCCTAGCCGCTAGTTCGTCCAGCGTCCAGACCCGAACCTCCCCGTCATCGCCAGTACTCAGCACCACCTCCTCATCTTCAGACCGCTTACCCTTGTCTGCTCTCCGCGCCCAGGCGACGTGGTTGATCTCAAACACATCGTGTGCTGAAAACAGTTCTGCAACAACTATCCATTCCGTCGGTGATTGTGCTTGCGCCGGATCAAGCTCCATCTGATCTCCATTGGCGGCATTCGAGGCATCCTGCCTCCAGCGCTCTTTGTACACGATAACCTTGCCGTCGCTGCCAGCACTGACAATCATGCCTGTCCTGCGGCTCCATGAGACTGAGTAGATGGCGCGTTCGTGAACTTGCGGAAGTATGGCATCCTGATACCAATCTTCGTCAATCGCCGCCGAACGGATGATGCTTGGTATACCCGTGTTGCTGCTCGAATTATCATCCCTCTCCTTTGCCTTCCGCCTCCATATCCTCACTGTGCGGTCATCTGAACATGTCGCCAGCCGTGGCCCCGAGCGCTCAAGATCCTCAATATACTGTGTCTGCTCTTCAGATAGCCCTTCTCTCTGTGCTCTCCAATCCTTCTTACTCATCCCACTTCCCTCAAACTCAGCCCACCATACCGTCTGACTGTGTCCATCTATCATGGAAACCTGCACCCAATCGTCCGCGTCTTCCCTGTAAAGTCTGACTGTGTCATCGTAACTTGCACTGGCCAAAAGATCCTCTTCTGGATGCCACGCCACGCATTTGACGTCTCCATCATGCTCTTGCAACACGGCTACTGTCTCAAAGTTGTCATCTTCCAGTTCTTCCCATATCCACACGCTCTTATCGCGCGAACAAGTGGCTAGGTACTGCCCAGAAGGGCTCCACGAGAGACACTTAATCTCGGATTCGTGACCGTCAAGAATGCAACTGAATTGATAGTCTTCTGCTTCGTCGTCCCCATCATCGTCTTCGGTGTTGCCCATACGCCGGTTCGTGAAGTCGTTTTCCAATGTACTGCCCTGTTCTTCACGCCGCCAAATGCCGGCGCTCGAGTCGAAGCTGCCTGTAGCCAACACGCTCTGGCCCTGTGTACCAGGCTTCCATGATACTGTTCGTACGCTGCGCTTGTGACCTCCGGTTATCGAGTGGAGTAGTGTAAAAGACGTGAGACTATACACGCGAACGCTTCGGTCTGAGCAGGCCGTCGCAACAATGGGGAGAGTCGGATGTGGCGCGGACTGCCATGTTCGCGAGTTTGAAGGCGGTGTGAGGGTTGCGAGTCGTGAGAGTTGGTGTGTTTGCGTATTTGCTGGCAGAGACATGGTGGGGGCTTGCGCGCGAGCCGCAGCTTTTGATAGTCGTCAGAGACAAGCAATTGTGAGCTTGGAGGGACTAGAAAGAAGCTCGGTACAGGCAGAACTCTGGTAAGCCTGTTTCTGCTGTTCTCGCTGAGCTATGCGACCGAGTCAATGTTTTCGATGCTTCGAGAGTGGGGGCACAGAAAGTTCGGATGAGCGTCATAGGTACGCCAAGCATCCCACCATCATCTCCGTTGCGTTATCGGACATCCGCATTCGCTTGCATCCCTCGCCAAATCATGTGATCATAGGATCTCTCTGAAGTTCATTTGTCTGGTCACATTGAATCCGTGAACAATCATATTATCTATTCTCGAGCCACTTCGATCTATCAAGCCTCTTCTCATAGAGCACGCCGTTCCCCAAGTTAGTGGATCCTGCCCTTTGTCGCTATGTATATAATGGATATATCAAATATCTACAGAAGAAGAAACATCGTGAATCTATATCAAAGAGAAAGCTCACAACATAAACGAAATCTACGCAAAGGAGTGATTAGCTCCAGGCTCCACACTGGTTGGTGGCCGGCTCATAAGTGAGCCACGGGATGCTGTCGTAATCGTCATCAACAGATCAGCCAGCGTTTGGCTCTCCTGATCCACCATATTATTCTTCGCTCTTTTCATACTATGCATCTCCACTTTGAAACTGGATTTGCTTCTAGGCGACTTGATTTCCTCAAGGGAATTCGTAACCATTCTGCCCCACATACTGTGGCCCGAAGCCGCTGTGAGAGTCCTAGTATGTAGTCTGTGGTTGACAAGGTTATCTACAGAGTCCGTTTCTTCGTTCCAGCTCCTCTCGCTAGATAGTGATTTCTCTTTGCGAAGGCTCCACGGCCACTTGGAACTGAGGCTTGAAGACGAAGTTTCGGCATCTGATTGCGCCCGCTGGAGATAGCCGAACTCGTCGTGGTTTCTTTGCACAAGCACAGCGTGGTCTGCACATCCTGTCTGCGACCTGAGATATGTCTTGAAAAACGAAAACGGTATTGCCTTAAGAGTGAAGCTCTGCAGCGATTGGACGTAAATTTCCTTGATACCACAGAAAGCAAACACCTTTGCCTGGCTAAAATCCGTTTGTCCATTCACCATGTCGAGTTGTTGTGCCGAGAACGTGGAAAAATGCAGAGCCTCTTCAGGGCATTCCCGGAGAAGGGATTCGATCTGACTGCCAAATTTGTGCATGAAAGCGGAGACTTTAGTATCTGGTTCCGAGGAGGCTTTGATCCGCGCCAGGCACCGGTCCAAAGTGAGCCCGTCGAATGTTGAGAGGATTTCCAATTGATGACTGTCGAGCTGATCGTCATCAAGTTTGACCATTGGGAGCCGGCCTGAATTCGCCCGCGGTACCACGACATCCATGCTTTTCATGCCAGGTCTTGGTTGTACCAAGAAAGAAGCAAGGTAGGTGCCGCTCTTCGGAACAGAGTACTGTCTGTCACTAAAAGCATGTAGGCGTATGATAAGATCCTCGAGGTCGCCACAGGGGATCTGCAGGCTGCGTGCTATGTTATGGCTGACCTGCTCGATTTCGGCGAAGCTGTAGCCTAGTTGTTGTAATCGGTGTGCTTCTGATGCGTCGACTTTCCTCGAGAGTATGAGCATCTGTCCCTTTCCGAATACGACTGGCTCGAATCTCCCCGACTCGAGGTCGTTAATTGTCACGTTCACATCTGGTGTAGTCTTGGTTGTATGTGTACCTGTCCACGTCCCGCGATTGGTGGTCATCGTGCCAGTAGTCAAAACATCCTCATATAGACATCCCAGCTTCTCGAGACCCATTTCAAGAGCTGTAGCCATCTCATCAGCTGTGACGCAAAACAATTTACGGAACGTGGCCGACGAGGTTGCATCGTCGCTCTCGTGTAATGAGTTGCGTCTTTTGTTTCCGGGAGAAGTCGCTTCGAGGTATCCAGCCAGTTGCAGGTGTTCACGCATTGACGGAATGAGATCGGAGATACCATTCCAGTTTCGTGTGACCCTAAAGATCCATTGGAAAACCGGATGGGACGTGTCGAGTTCATCGTCGAAGGCTCCTTGATTGAAATGCTGGATGATGGTCTGGCACGGCATCAACCCAGTCTTATTGACCAGCAATTTCCCTGAAGGATCAAAGGTGGCAAGAGCTAGCACGGCTTGCTGCGCCCTGCTCTTTTCCTCTTTCCGTTGGCGTTGTTTGATGAAGCCTAGTATGACACATGCAATGCATGAGATTGTTAACTGATCCATGTTAGCAGCAGAGTTGACATTTGCAGCCTGTGACTTACAAGGCAATAAGCGACAATCAGATTTACGTTCTGGTCTGCTTCCTCGCCATCATGGTAAGCCTCGATCTGATACCAAGTGCCTGTTGCTGCAGTCCAGTGCATCCTAGACCATGTTAGAAAGTTTATCATACCATATGTGTGCGGTATCACTCACCCGCAAATGCCCACAGCCAGAGTAAAGGACACACATATGCGCCTCCAGATATTGTTCATCCATAGTTTTCCCCAGTAGAAAAAGAGGCCAAACCCAACCGAACATATGACCACAGCAACAGCTGCAGAACCAACCATATTCGCCCAGTTCGCCGACATTCTGCAATTCTCGACGCCGATGTTTCCCAGAAAATGCACCATGGTAGTGGCACCACCTGTACACAGCCCGCATACAGCAAGCGATCCGTATCGAACAATAGCTCGCCGACCCAGCTCGTGAAATCTGATCGCGACAGAGAGACCCATGAAGATGGGTATAATGGGTAGTATAGCTGACAGCACCACATATGTCTCATCGTAGTATAGCTGAATCTCTAACTCGCCGTCACCAAGGATGATTGCACGGTTCCCGACAAAATGCATGCACCAGACTGCGACCAACCCGAATGTTACTGAACAAATAGCAATATCCGCCCTGTAACATGTAAGACGCTGTGATGTGATGTTGCTTTTGAATACGTACCAGGGACGCCATCCTGTTCCAGAGGCTCGTCGGTGCAGTAGCTCTACGGTGGTAAAGGTCCCAATTAGGCTGACAAGAAACGAGGCGAATACAAGATACGGGAGAAAGGATATGGGAGGTGTGGTTCCGACGAGGTATTTGTCTTCGACCTCTGGTCTCAACATGGTAAATGCGACGGGATTTTGGTGGGTTGATGAAGAGAGAAATGCACCTGTGCATAGACGTCTTTCCGATAGATCTGGATGTTGTTAGAGTATGTTTCTCCAGCACATTGTACCGATTGAAAAAAAACTACGCACGTACTTGGGCCAAAGCAAAGTCGCAACGCTGTTGCTACACACTTTCCACAACACGTGTTTTCGACGGAATTCGTCTATCGCAAACGTCAATCTCCCCTATAGCAACCGGCCGCATCAATACAAAACAAGTGAATAACTTCGAGTATGCTAAGCGTACCAAACGGATTCTCTGGCGCTTTATTAAAGCAGAAATCTAGCCTCCCCTCTCTCGACAACGGACAACCCCGTTACACCATCCCTCGCCAGGTGAATCCCGGGACAGACCGCGAAGCTCCACAGTAATTACTCCTTGCGGGAGTTGGTGCTAGGTTGGGTTGCGAACGCCACAACTTATGCGCTAAGTGGTGGTGACAGCCGTGGGCGATGAAACACGGTCCCAGGGCTGAGGGCTCCAACGATCGATAAAGTTTCTTGGCCTTTTGATACTCAGAATTATGGTCGACTGTTGTTCTTTGGTGTGCTTTGATCTACCGATGCGCTGCAACTTGATATATCCCATTGTGAGAGCGCTATGCCTATGACTTGGTAGTTATTGAGAACATTACCCGTATAAAACAATGTAATTCACCAGCTGATAAATCCTGTATATAATTCGCATCTGGGAAGTGCACCGTGAAGGGCTTTCTTCTTCCTCAAGATATTGTAGTGGCAAGCGTTGTTCCACTGCCTAGCGCTGGCTAACAAGCTTCCTCAAGCAAAACACGATGCTACCAAGGGCGAGTGTTGCCAGTTGACATGGGCTCATGTGGCGCCTGTTAGTGCGATAATACTTGGCGAAGTTACTAGTAATAACTGTGGAGTGGAGTTTAGTGGTATTGGTTGGCGAGTATTGATCAGATCATGAATTTTAACTCAGGTTGGCCGTTGTCGTTGAGCCGCTGTGTTTTGGATGCTTATGAAAATTTCGTATGTCTGAGTACCTCAAGCTTTGAGCGATGCCACTATGAATGCTTCATAGATACGTAGGGATTTGACGATCCCGTGTTGATCGTCACGGTGAATTCTGACTAGGGATTGAGAAGTTGGAAATCTGAGCTGGGACTCGAATACGGTTCGGAAATCTTAAATCATCTGATAATTATATCGGACGGAGTTGCCGCCAATTAGCAAGCCGTTTTAGCAAGCTCTCTTCTACTCCCAAGAACTCATACGATATCGGGTGTTCCATCCGCAAGGTTGCAGCTAGGAGCGGAAACTCTGATGCACAGTTCTTTGACAGCTGCCTGCCGGAGACAAGTCCTAGACCATGTCAATGTAGGCCTGAAACTAATGCCGTCCACAGGACAGTATAATTAGGGAAGTCGTATGTGGGGGCGGATTGGAAGAATAAAGTTTAAGCCAGCGCCTTATTCTATATATACCGTCAGGGCCCGATGTTACTTTCTTAACTGAGGCCTGGGGCGCTCATGATTCAGGCTCCCTTCTCAGCCAAGAGAAGCTTGCCGCCTGCCAAGGAACGAACTACCCAAAACTTGCCAAGGATTGAGCGGCGGAACACCAGTCTCATATGGGCGGGTTCTGAGAGTCCTGCGTTATTTGTGGATGATATATCTATGCTGTTCTGGTCGCTACCCCACAATTCGGATTGTGCTTGAGGCCAAGATGGATGGGGTCAGAGTTGGTTGTGCCTGATCGGATGTAGTATTAGCGATAGGGATGCATGACCTCATTCTTCTTTGCAGTGTTTTGCATAGAAATAGGCGCATTGAACATGTACTCATGATCGTATGATAGAAGAAGTCCGAGGTGAAACAACTTCTAGTGCATGTCAAACAGATTCCACGAAGCTGGTAAACCTAACCATGTCAATTGTGACACTAGTGCGGTGCGCTAAAGCCAAGTATCAGTAGCTTTCGTCCAACCAGAAGTTGCATTTGGATGCTGGGTCTGTTCTTCTTATGCCCACGCAAAAACCCTGCATCAGCGCACAGACGATGCATAAGTAGTTCTTGAAAGCTACACCAGGCAGACGTGGCATTAATACCCTGCGCTAATCTTCAAATACCTGTTGTCCGGGCCCAATACGTTCGGGGATAGGTTTGTGTGTGTTCGTAAACATGATCATTCAGATCTGCCATCGCAACCGGAGTAGAGACCTGAAGACGCCTAGTAGGATAGTGGATCAAACAATAGCTCTTCTTCCAACTCGGTAATACCGTAATTTGTGATAGGTTTGGTGAAGGTTTCGTGTTGTGTTTGGACTTGGTGATTGTCACTAGTCACTATTTGCGGTATTAAAGGCAGTAAACACCCACCGTCAGTACTTTCGCTTGAGTTACTAAGGGAAATGTCTTCGTCGTGTACTGCATATAAGCCCTCGTTCCATTCGATGTCTTTCCCCACTAACATATCTTCTGAGTCTGAGTAGACTTCCTCTGAAGGGGAGCCAATGCAGGCTAATATCGGCGGTGTAGGGTCGCGAAGTAGACTTTTTTGTGAATGCACCCATAGATTACTTGCGACATATCGCGTGATACGGGCGGTGTTAGACTCAATGGGGTATCCTGGCCCATGGGTTTTATCTCGACCACCCGCAAAAGCAGCGTTGCTGATGATCTCCATTTTGGACTTCAGAGAAATAGACATTGTTCTTGCAAAGCCTGTTTGAGCGAGTGATTGAGCAACTGTGGGCATTAGTTGGGCTCTCTGAGACAAAGCCTATTCGAATATTAGCAGTAGACTGAGGGATGTAAAGCGCTCCATACATCGATATATCCGCTTCTCCATAACGCAGGGGCTACATCGGCCAATCCCAGACGGAATGTATTCGCTTTAGCTTTTAACCCATTTGGATATTTAGAGATTGTACCGCGTATGCAGAGACGTAGTGCGCTATCGACCATAGCTCGCACATTAACTTGAAATTGCATCATCGAGGAAAGACTGTGCGCTGACTGGGAACTTAGATCTACCCGCATATCTCTTTCGTCACTGTCAGCGTGTCGGCGGGGAAGTTTTAGAGGCGTCAGTGACATGCTAGTGACGGATCGTTTTCGTTTTCTGCTAGCATCAAACGGAACGGGTTTTGGTGCATCATGACTTGAGGCACTTCCAGCCGAGTCTACATCAAAAGGCATCATAGTCTTATCTTCGGCTTTAATGCGCTCATCCGAGGAGGAGTTCGATCGCGGCACTACAAGCTTCCGGCGCGGACCTGTCTCTAGAATGTCCAGGCATAGGCGAACCGAATGAAGTGATACAGAAATAACGCCCTCTGGTGGCCCAATATCTGTCGCCGGAACATCTGAAAACAGCCTGTGATGCTTTTGCCCCACCTCCTTTCTAGCGACAGTAGCGTGACTGATATTGAGTCGAATCGTTCCTGAGTCTCTTATGGAATTGCTGGGAAGGGCTGGTCTCAACATTAATTGCTGCCATACCTTGATCTGGTTAGAAGGAGGGGGTGAACTGATGTGAGTATGGCTTACTGGAGCCTGGAGAATAGCATTCGTGAGGGTTTGGAGCTGCTTGTGGGGCAGCGCCTCATTGTTCACCGTCAGTTCCAAATTCACATGCATATCATGTCCATGATCAATCCATAGTAGTCCAGATGCAAGGGCTTTGAGACACTGAACAGGTGTGAGCTGTGCAAGGTAAGGTGAGTCCTGTTTTGGTGAGATGGTGATCAATGTTGTGAGCCAAAGCTCGTGATGGGCAGTGGGTGCATGCAGTACTGCGCGCCCCAGCTCGACGGATCGCGACATTCTATCCCCAGATAACTCTCATCGGTATCAGGGAAGAGGGGTGAGGCGGCATTGAGGTGGAGCTTGTCAGGAGAATGGAGGATGGCAGCTGTGGGGTATCGCCTTCCGCGCCAAGACCCGAGACCGCTCTGTCACTTGATGTCAGTCGGTACGTCACCCCCTGCGCCTTCTCCGCTTCGCAGTTCCACAACAAATCCCAACATGAGGGTTCTCACCAGGAACGCGCTCCAGTGCGTCAGCCAGATTCGGGGATGCGGCAGCACTGTCTCGTCCTCATCTGCTATCCTGTCAATACCTTGCAGGTCTTTTCACTGTAGCCCGACACCACGCACCGATGGCGTCTTCCGAGAGCTTACTGCCATGCGGGTGCGCACTCCTTGGGTAGAGGCTCTACGACAACAACAAGCAGAGGCCAATCAGCCCTCTGAGCCTTCGAAAAAAACTGAATTGCCCAAAGATCGCAAACTGACGCCGAAGCGCATGAGTGAAAGCTATCATTCAGTTGTGCTCCCTCTCGCCCAGGATCCATGGATACTCGACACATATCTCAATGCATCAGGTCACATCCGTCTTGGGACCATTTTCATGGATCTCGATGCACTTTCGGGTATTATCGCGTAAGCGTACAATGGCTGTGCAGAATAATCGCTTTTGTCTAAACACGCCCACAGATACAAGCATACAGGAGATGACGTTACCACTGTTACTGCAAGCTGTGACCGCATCACCATTCATTCTCCACTAACAGAGATCTGTGATCTGGAGCTCTCCGGCCGCGTTACGTATGCGACGGGTAGGAGTAGCTTGGAAATCACCATGCAGGTTGCAAAGGCACCTAAGGAGGGTGAAAAGACAAAAGATGAAGACGTCCTCATCAATTGTACCTTCACGATGGTTTCCCTGGATCCTGTTACGAAGAAGTATGGTCTTTGATATCTGTGATCTTGATTGGCGACTGACAACATTACCAGGCCGGTGAACGTCAACCCGTTAAAGATTGAGACATCTGAAGAACAACGAATCTACGCTCTGGGTGAACGCAATTCAAGAGTGAGAAAAGAGCGTCGGGAAACCTCTCTTCTTAAGCATACACCAAACGATCTCGAGAGCGATCTAATCCACGCATTCTGGCAAAAGCAATTGCAGTACCACGGTATGTCACATTCTTAACACTAGTAATATGAGTCTGTAAGCTAATTGATGCAGATCCGTATGATGAACTTCGGAAACCTGACAATGTGGTTCCCATGGATGCAACCCGGCTGCAGACTGCGACCATCATGCAGCCTCAATACCGTAATCGGCACCACTTTATGATATTTGGTGGTTTTCTCCTTAAGCAAACCTTTGAGCTCGCCTTTACTACCGCTGCAGCCTTTGCCCATGCCCGCCCCACCTTCGTGTCGCTCGATCCATCCACCTTCCAGAACCCTGTGCCTGTAGGCAGTATCCTATACCTCACGGCAACGGTAGTGTATACAGACCCACCGCTGATTGGCGCACCGGGAGAGGAGTTTGACGAGAACTCGGAGTACACACGAGTGCAAATCCGGGTTGATTCCAAGGTGAGGGATGTAGAGCATGGCCACTCGAAGCCGACTGGCCAATTCAACTACACGTTTACAGTGCCAAACAACATTAGAGTCATGCCAAGGACATATCAGGAATTCATGATGTACATTGATGCTCGGAGGCGAGCAGCGCAGGTTAGGCAGACCCTAGAGGAAGGGAATACTGTTAGCCCGAAGACGGCTGAAGACAGTCTCACGGAATAAGACGCAGAATGCAGGTGTAGGATCTGAGAATGCTACCATGTTGAACATTGATTGCGCAAAAAGCGTTGTTGAATTCGATCAAAATCAAGTGGAAATGCACGCTCTAAATAGCCAACAAACACACCGCGCTATACGTAGTCCCAACGCCATTCGATAACCCAATCTTGTGAATGCAGCCTCACAGCTCCAGGATGCGCCTACTATGCGCCTACAACGCTCGAGCTGAAGAGAGAAAGAAAAAGAGGTATCGCGCACTCAGACACAGACTGTCGGACAAACAATAACAAAAAAAGATCGGGAAACAATCATATCGGACCAATATCGCGAGGGGGGCTCAACGGGGACCCAAAAAAAGGGCGGTGAGGCAGATGCCGTACAAGCTAGCCCATCGCCCCCAGCACCATCGCGTTGCAACATGTGCACTCGGCTGCATCTTTTCATCTGCACCCGCTCGTTAGCCTCGCTCCACAAATAAACCCATGGTGCCATCTCATTCCACAAGCGCGCCCCCCCCCCATTCCCCGACGCAGGGTGCCTTCCAAGGGTCTCTCCCCCCACTTGCCATGTGTCCGTCCTGTTGTTCGTTGCCACTTTCCGCCCTTCCCCCGTTCACCAAAAATAACGTTTTCCAACACTTTCCTCCTCTTCTTTCTGCTTTGCAGCCATGTTGAGAGAAAGAAAAAAAATCCCCAACAAGAAGAAAGAAAGGATTTGAACGTACCGGTTGACTCAAGGATGCCAGAGTGATTTTTTTTAGATGCAAAAGAGTTTATAGCTCGTCGAGCTCGAATTCAAGTGCTACGTCTTCGGAGCAGTCGGTGCAGTAGTAGTTTGAGAAGCCGCCGCATTCGATTTTCATCTTGGAGCACATGTCGATGGACCAGGCGTCGTAAGAGTAGCCGGAGAGTAGGCGGGAGGAGCAGACTTCGATGCTGTTGGCCCTGTTTTTCGGGTTAGTATTTTGTTCCATCTCTTGTCTTTCGTTTTGAGGTATCTTGATGGAAGGGGAATTTACCAGATGTAGTAGTCGTGGTTGCAGTAGTACCACGAGTATGTGTATGAGCACATGGTTTCTGATTGGGTCCTGGAGGTGCCGAAGAGGTGGGGTTTTCAAATATGACCTTTGGTATGGTCTTTTAGGTATTCACAGTGAGAGAGGTCTATATGTCCGGTTAGCTGACCGCTTTTTTCATTGTTTTCTCGTAAATTTATAGTTGCTCTCCCATGTGGCAGTCGTGGCCCATCCTTTTCTATCCGCGGAAACCGAGCGTCGATGTTCTAGACTCTCTTTTTCTATCTGGCCGCAGTGGTCGTGGCGGTGCAGGTATGGCATGTTGTGGAGTAGCGGTGATGGAAAGTTTACACACCTCGAGTCTTTCAGTATCGTGTCCCCAAGCTTGCCACGCACAAAACGATTCAACAGAGCGATGTCGGAGAAATGAGACTTGAACGCGTGTACAGATATCGGAGTATGGTTTTCCCTTTTTCTTCTTGAATATCAAAGACAGGAAATGGTCTAGGAAGCTCTTCAAGCAACACGGCGGAGTATAAATGCAATCAGTACGTTGAGCACCCCAGTAACCTCACGCGAGCCGGGGCGGCATCTTTATAATCACTCATCTGCATCTCGCCGTCTTACAGACAACTAGTCTGACTCCGTGGTCTGACTCCTTTGATCTTTGTAGCCGGGGGAGCTTGGACCCCTGGGAAATGGAATGCAAATGGGGCCCTACAGGCCTGCTCGCTCCGTATCACCCCCGGATTAGCGATAAGGAAAAAGGCACGAATGCAACGCCCGTCCAACCGGACCCAACCAGATGAACGCTTTTACCTTCGAAGAGGAAACTCTGTCGGGGAGGCGCGGCTGATGCGGTTCGGCTATGCGAGGACAGGTATCAAGAGGCGGTGGAGAGAAAGAACCCTCGTGCCTCTTCTTGACACGTTCATACATACTTATGCGCCATCTAGTAACCTGCCAACAGTCCCCCCCGTATGCTTTTGTTTTTGGCCAGACGCCACATCACGAACGCTAAGTATCCTCGGCTATCTCTCTCTCCTCGGTTTCCTTTGTTTCCCAACAAGATCCCCGTTGAAACTTCTGGCTAAACAACGGTCATTCGGCGACGAGGGAAAGAGAGCCCAGGTACCCCAGACTTTGTTCGCCTCACCCCTTCGCCTTTCGCGCACCGGTGACCGGTTGGACCCTGAGAGTGCTGCACACGCTAGTCCATATGGCTTATGCAGGGTTCCCCTCCAGCCCCAATCTCGAAGCCTCGTGCGCGCTCATTGGCTGCCGGCTACATGCCGGAACGCAACGAGATGGATAGTCGGGCTCTTGGCCAGAATAGACGGTCTGGAATTGGATGAACCCATGGCGAAATCACAACTAGAGCGTGACATGTGGCTGGCCGAGTGTGCCGATAGTAACTGATAAGAGAGTTTGGTTTCAGCGGGCTCGTAAAGTACACCAACCACCCTTTGTTAGACTTGATGTTGTGCTAATCGGGACGCAACGGGTAAGGAATAGTAAGAGACCACCAAAGAAAAACAAGGGCTCACAAGCAAGCGCGAACCAATAAAAAAGAATAGCTTCGTGTGCTAATGAGCCTTCTCGAAGGGAAAAAAAAAGGGGGGGAAGCGACAGCCTCAAGCTATCGAATACACCAAGAAAAGTCCGAGGCGACAGCGCGAAAACTAATTAGTTTCCGAACTCCTTTTTTTTTTGCGCGACTACTAACTGTGTCCACTTCCATACCATTTCTCCTGTCCTTTTCTTCGCCTCGGAACTTGACAGCCGCCAAAAAAAACTCCGCAAACCGGCGCCGGCGCGCACGCACGCTCGCGCGCGCCCTTGGCGGCAATTGCTCATATACTCCCCCACACCTCCCCCAAGCAAACCTCCGCCAGCCAGCCAGCCAGCCAGCCAGCCACGTACAAACATCCGACCTTTTGCCGTTTTCTCCCATCGAATCTCTCGTCGTTCCGAAGACTGTCGGGCTCCGCGTATTGTGATACCGAAGAGAACCAATGGGTTTCAAACGTAATTGCCCAGTTGGGGAATTTTCTGGCAAGGGGGTGGGGGGTCCGGATGTGGGTAGTAGCGCGTTACTTCCGAAAACTTACAGGGGGCCGCTCGGAAACGGGCGGGATGTGTGAGTGGGCATGTACTATTGCATGAACGTGTGAGGGTAATGAACCGTGGGAATAGAAAATTTAGGAGATTGTAGTGTACTTATTTGGCTAAAACTCGGTTATCGTGGTAAAAATGTGACAAATGACGGGTATGGCGTAAGTAGGGCTGGGTGAGTTAGTTTGAACGGTACAATATACCGTAGGGTTGTTTCTGGATTGGTGCTGGTGTATGGTTCAGAGTCCAGTTTCAAACATGTGCCATTCTTCCTGCATGATATTTTTTTCTCATCTAGCTGCCTGGATGAAGTAGAATTTACCGTCTTTTCGGTTTGTGTAAGATAGAGCAGGGCTTAGCGAATGCTTCTTGAAGTACAAATACATAGAATTTCCCGATCCATACTAGTAGTACGCTTCTTGATTACCGAAAATCCATTTGACAGGGTGTGGAGAAAAGTCCTTGTAAACCTTTCCTGCTGTCTAGCTGGATTTGTTCTTCGGGAGTGGAGTGACAAACTTGTCCTCGTACATTTCCTTCGACACCGTACCTTTCTCCTGCAACTCTTGTACCAACTGCGGGGCAGACTTCGAGTACTGCTGTACTCTCCACTTGGAGGGGTTGGAGGCTTGCAGCCACACGAGACGGCCATTTATTTCCGTATTATGCTTCTCCACAGCCGCCTGCTCGGCACCTTCTTTCGTTTTGAAGTCGATCCAGCCCAGCAGGCGAGGGTTTTCCTTTTTGTCGCCAAAGAACACTGACATATCGCTGACTCTCTCAACACCATATTTGCCAAAGTTTTCCTCAATGATCTTAATTGCGTTCTGTCTGGCTTCGGTGATTCTGGACTTAGGCGACCAGCCTGGTGTCTTCACTGAAAGAACCATCCGGCGTCCTTCGGCCAAGGGGCTGAGAGCCTCTTGCGCAGCATCGCCTTCGTCGTTGAAGAAGCGAGATCCGTAGGGCGAGTGCTTTGTGGTCTCCTGATGACCCCAGTAGAAATCGTCTTTCAAAGGCTTGACTACGATGCTTTTGTTCTGTAATTTTGCTTGATTAAGCTTTTTGACCGCTCTCTGGGCTTCTTCAGGGCTTCCTAGCTCCACAAAGCACATGGTGTCATTGTGGAATGTGAAGCGATCTACTCGCATTTGCATTTTCTTTCTATACTCTTGTTAGCTGAGATGTGCAATTGTAAAGCTATGTGCGATTTGGTTGGTCCATTAAGAACATACATGTTGAAACCATTTTGCCGCAAAAACTCTTCAATGTCGCCTCTTGATAATCGCTTTGAAATCTTTAGCAAACTAATGGAATTTGCCGTGATACCCGCTGAAGCGGTACGGTTATCTGTGAGAGCGATCTCTGGGCCTCTTGAAGGTGTTTGAACAATCTCTTCCCATGCTGATATACTGGAAGTAAAGGTTCTCCTGGGCAATGATGAAGTGATTGATGGGATTGCTGGGGGAGTGGCGCGTATGCACAAAGCGCTCGCACGACAGAGAAGGTGGCTCCGTGAGAACACCCTTGAGACGGCCATTGTGAGATGTGAATGTAGACAACCTAGAGTAATCCGATTGGCCAGAGAATCCCAAGATTGTTGTGCTTGGGTGCAGGATGTGCGTCAACATTCGCCGAAAAAGTTCCACGCCTTGTCGGAGCGCCAAGACCTGCTATCGATAACGCACTGCAAGGCTGTATGTACTATCTCTTGTGCATCTTGAATCACTCGCTTAAGCGAGATCTTCTATCGGTTCGAAAATAGGGTATGCACATTTGAACTTAGCTCAATCACAGAGTCATAACGTATCGAAGTGAGCTATACTCTATGCTGTAAACGATTTATGAATATCTGCTTGATCAGTACCTTTGTCACACAACATGATTTTTCCTTTACTACCATGTACATTCTGCTTTCTCGGTGACGTACCACATGTAGACAAACTTTTGCTTTTTTTATTCGTTGTACGTAGTCTTCGTAGGTTGTGAGTCCTCTTGACGACGGGCTGGCTATATGACCAGCACAACTCCAATTTTTGGTACATACGACCATAGGAAGCTTGGACCACTGAAACCCGTTAGATCTTCTTTAGTTAAACAGTTTACCGGCGGGTTAGTAGTTAGGTGGGTGACCACTAGCGAATCCCCGCTGTCGTATGTTTTTGGAGGTTTATATTTTTTGCGGACGTGTGGCGTGTTTGGTCGTTGGGGTCTGGATGTATGGATCAAGGCATTGATGAATCAACAGCTCATGTGTGGTAGGAACATGATTGTGGCGGCACACGATGAACTAGAGTCTATTTTGAAGAGTGTAAAGTATGTATTGAAAGTATTGAGATGCAAAGTTTTATCTTAATCTATGATCGTGCGCGAAATTGCAGCATTGGTCCATCCTTTTTGCTGGCGAATACATCCATGATCTGGTATTCAGTCTCCCTATTCCTGCCCTCCTCCAACTCCTTGCTTCCTGCACCCAGAGTCATGCCGGGAGCCAATCTCAGATCGTACAAGTACAAAACCCTTGCAATCGTCACAGTCAGTTCGACATACGCCAGACCCTTACCAATGCACCCACGGGGACCAATGCTGAATGGGTTGTATGCTGATTGAGCCGCCTGGAGACTGCTATGATGAGGGTTTACTGTAGGGTCTGGAAGCCAGCGCTCAGGAATATAGTCGAATGGCTGAGGAAAGTACTCAGGGTTGTGGTGGATTGCATAGATGGGAACACCAACATCTACTCCGGCAGGAATGTGACGGCCATCGATATCTAAGCCTCCAGTGAGAACCTCTCGGGGAAGAGCACCAGCTACAGGGGGCGTCATGCGCATCGTTTCATCGATGCATGCACGCAAGTATGAGCAACCGCCGAGTTTGGGTCCAGTAACAATTTTCTCGACATCGGCAAAGGTTTCACGGATTTCCTTGCACACCTTTTGCATAGCTGAGGGGTTGTTTGCGAGATAGAACATTGTACCAGCCATGGCCGTCGAAGTAGTATCCGAGCCAGCGATGATAAGCAAATTCGACTCGCCCCACAGCTCATCCATGCTGAAGCCGTTGCCAGTCTCTGGATCCTTGGCGTTCAGCAGATAGTAGAAAAAGTCCTTGCGATCAACGTCTAGGCCCAGCTTGGTGCGCTCCATAGCCTGTCCCTTGCTGTACTGCATGTACTGTGCGCGTTGGCCAGCAATCTTGCGGAAGAACAGCTTGTCCAAGTGCCAGTTGTGGATAGTAAGATGCGTACCACAAATCAAATGGCGATGTGCTGCGTTTCCGACCAACTCAGTTGCGAAACGATTGGCGGGGCTTTCCAGCATGCCGAAAGCCTTTCCGAATACTAGATCGCCCATGATGTCGAAGACAAGCCACTCGCACCAGTGCGCGGCGTTCCAGACGTCATTCCAGCCACCGTCTTTCTCGTCACCCATGGCTTTTCCCGAAGACCAATTGTTGCTATTGCGCGCGAGCATTTCACAGCCAACGCGTACATTGGCCAGGATGTACTTTTCCAGACTCTTGATTGCGGAATCGCTGAATGCATGGCTCATGACTCTCCTCTTGCGGGCATGCTGCATCTTGTCAATCGCGCTGTGCACGCTGACGGCCTTTGGTGTGCTTGGGAAAGCTTCGTAGAACGATGCCTTCTTGACATTGGAACGGAAGCCATAGATGGTCTTCAAGCCGGTTGCTGTGTTGACGGAGAGCAGGTTGGGTCCTAGGCGCACATATGTACCGTATTTCTCGTGTGCACGGTGGAAAGCGAGATGCCGCGAGCCTTTGTAGGCATAGTAGGCGAGGTAGATGTCGGTGATCTTTGCGAGGAAAGGGCCCGGGTAAGAAGCCAGTGGGTGAAGGGTGAGCCGATAGACTATGACACCGAAAATCTGTGGTCCCGGTTAGTGGTGTGTGTGTGGATGGATTGTCGAGCGTCTTACGTAGAGTGCCAGCGCTCCAAAGAGGGAGCCTAGAAGGAAGAGAACAGCCATGATGGCGGTTCAGGTACGTTTTTGTTATAGCAGGTCTGAGGTCAGGAAGGAAATGTTATTGGTGCACACTCAATCTCATTGCCACGAGAAGATATTCTCGAGAAGAATGATCAGACTATCCCAAATCTCTCGTCCAACTGCTCCATTCTGCACGAGGAAACATCAACCTAAGTACTTCAGCGCGCTTCCACCACCATCCGCATCTCCCCCGGATACCCTCTGCATCTGCAATGACAAAGAATTTCAGGCCGGTGAAGTGGTCATCTGCCCTGTTACTGGAGCTTAGTCGAAGCAGGATCCATGCGGGAACACTGGGTATATGTTGCGGCGCACTACGGCTACCGTCGGATATTCGAGCAATGCATCGGGATCCAACCAGACACAGCGGATATCGAGGCAGGCGATGACGCTAACGCGGATAATGATGTAGCTTAGTAGTTCGACCCGCTTTTTGCGGACAGGAAGGGCGCGGATATTGGGTGCGTAGGCGTGGGAGGGAGAGGAAGGCTGGCGGGAGACTCCATGGCGATTATCGCGCATCCATGCATGTCAGCACTGTCACTATCTCAAAAGTAAACATCGCGTCATGTATCGTGATCAAGTTCCGCCCGGGGAACCGCGATCACTCTGCACCCGCAAATCACCCATAGATACTGTTTTGTTGAGCAAAGTTGATTTGCTGATCCGCAGAGGTGCTGTCTAGAAGATGGCGCAGAGATCAAGCAGCAGTAGAGTCGAGCCCACGAGTTTTGGAGCTTCTAGTATCTACGCCAGTAGATATCTGATTAGCCTGAGAAACTCAGAAGCGAGTTCTAGCAGGCTGGGTGGCAGGCAGAGCAAAGTGCAGTTTCATGGTGCGCGCTCTCGTAAGGTGATAATGACTTTTTCATGAACTCGGGTTGGCGAGCTCTAGGTAGACCGGGATACAGAGTACGTTATTCAAGTATGATTACTTTTTGGTGGAAAATTTGGAAGCTTTAGACGAACTATCGAAACGTGCCTGAAGATGAGCTTCGAATGTCCGATTGTTCACTCGACGTACATTTGCTCGCCAGGCTTGCCTACGCACACACATGCTCGGTTTGCTTGCGTGCCCTCTTGATCACGGCCCACAGGACAGTTGGAATGCAGATTAGAAGGTTGGATGTTCATCATGAGCAACAAGGAGGATTGAAGATGCAATCTCTGTTTCCTACTGTGACATCACTTGCAATACAGCAATACATTCTCACAGCAATGAGAAGATGTGCAATTTCAGAGTGGATTGACAAATGAGAAGGCGGCAATTCCCAAGCGGGAATCGCCGTCTTGGCAGATGTCGAGGCTCGCGAACATCAACCTTGACGATAGCATCGTTGAACGCGCGACAGCACCACGCACGCACTTCGACTCGACTTCGCTCCTCCGTTTTGCCCAGGCAATTGAGCGCCCAGAATGGCTAAGAACTTGAAGACCGCGGTCTTCTCGGTACGGCTCGCCCAGTCCCATAGCAGCATGCCCTCGCCCTCACGCCCCTCCACCTTCTATTGTAATTGCAATTGAAGGCATCACGCTGATGATGCCCATGTAGAAATATACTGTCCAGCCTACCGGAATCTATGCAGCTATCAACAGGCTCTTCGCGATCGACCCCAAGCGTTCCACGGGTATCCCAATGAACCCGCAGTTCCGTAACCCACCTCCCGGCGCAAACGATCCCATGGCCTACGACGATCCCGTTACTGTTCCTGCTGCCGATATCGCCGAGAACCCATACTGGAAGCGCGATGTGCGACGACGTTACCCTAGGCTCTCGACCGTCACCCAGGCCGACGCAGTTGCATTGCTTGAAGTTGGAAGCGCAGCAGCCCCCAAGCAGGAATTGATTGGGGAGGCGGGCTCCAAGTCTTTGATTGCTGCCCAAGAACAGGGTGCGAAAGGACTCGCTGTTGCGTTTGAGAAGAACACTGGGCTTGCAAAGGATGTACTAGGTCCTGGTGGTATGCCTCCGCTTCCCAGCGGCCTGCACAGCACCGGGGTTTCGGGACACAAGCGATATGATTTGGAGCAGGACCAGTCATACGGTGATGGGTACGCCACGAAACAAGCCTACCTCTAGGTTGTGATGCTAACCAGATATAGGTACCCTTGCCGGACATTTGCTTAGGTTGGAATATAGCTCCTGGTAACGACACCCAAGATAGATACATTGTACAGATGAGACTTCTCTCCCTCCATTTCATTTCATATTTCCACCATCTCTTCAAATTTCATGTAGGAAGTGCCCGTCAGCTGTGCTAGTCTACGAATGTGCTGCGCTTTTCTTGTGAATGTCTCGTTTCATTTCTCATAATGTTCGCGCTGCTACGGTCACCTCTCACCTCTCACACCTCACCACCCAAGGAAGGCACCACTAGGGTCTCTTGGCTTGGCATCGTGGTTTGCGACTTCCAACCTCTCCGTCACGCGTGAATTACATACACCTTGCTCTCACCTTCTCCACTACTGCTTCGTCAATACGGACAACTGCAGAGATGGGCTCTACACCTGAGAAAGGGCCAATGGAACTTGGCCCCGCTCCTCTTAACTTCATTTACTCCTGCTCGCTCTGCAGTGCTACCTTTGCCGATGTATACGAAGGCCACAACCAGTCCGTTCGCGGTCTATCGGATGGCATCAACCCTAAGGATCGCCTCGTGACGCGGCTCTTCCTCGCAAGCTGTTGCCATGTCTTTTGTAGTAGCCATCTCGAAGGTGGCGGTAAGTAGCCGCAATACCATGTAAGACGACTACTGACCATTACGCAGGACCGCCTTTCCATAGCGACAAAGAGCGTCCGAAAGCGCCGTGCCCTGTGTGCATCAAAGAGAAAGGCGACAGTGAGCCTCAGTTTCTGTACTCAATTCGTGGCTTCAACAAGAACGAGTACGACCCTATGATACCACCATCCTGGTTTACTGCACCGCCAATTCGACTTGACGGGAATGGAAAGGAGATGGATGCTTTGCGTGTATGTCACTACCATGTACACGTACAAACATAAACAGCTAACATCATGTAGTTCCAGTATATAGCGCTCATAAGGTACTGCCAAAACACTTATGCGACCCGCAAGCCTCTCGAACAAACCCTCAAGGAATCAGAAAAGAAGCTTGCCAACATGCGCAATCTCGTGTCTGAAGAGCATGCGAAGATGATCAGTTTACAAAAGGAAACAGACAAACTGAATGCGCAAAAGGATCAATTCGAAGCCATGCAGGCCGAGGTACAGCGGCTACAGGGTGTTGAACAGGAGTTTGAGCAACTCCGCAGCCTCAATGTCAATGCACGAGATCTGAAGACATTTATTACAAACAAGTCGGCAATTCGACACTATTTGAAGCTCGTTCCGATGTTGATGGAGTAAGTGAACCATGCTTGTAGCATATATGATATGCTAAAGTTCCCAGGCAGAATGAGAAGATGCAAAAGCGACTCGCCCAGCTAGGATTTGCAATGCCTGTTCAACCTATACCGAACTTCAGGGGGGTGGACCCCAGCGCATTCGATAGTGACGAAACTCTCGTTCGTGATGATCACAGAGACTTCAATGAAGTGTTGCGAAAGGCCACTTCGAGTCATACTGTTAGTGGATATGCACACGCATCAGACAAAGTACGAACGACGCCCTCGAGCTCCTACCTACGGCGGCCCGGGAAGCGGCAACGTCTTGACTCTCCCCTTCCTAAAGATATGCAAGTCGATTGCTCCCCAGGCCGACAACCGATGCCGCCCCCAGCAAAGCCACTATTGAGAATGCAATCCATGCGCAATATATTCCCTACTCTAAGAAAGAAGTTCGCTGGTGACCGGTCCTCTCCTTTGGCAGACGAAAACCTAGGGGTTGGTAGGGGTATTCAGATGTACAAGGATGCAAATTGGCAGAGTGCCAACACTACGCGACAAGAGGCTCGTAATGAACTCCATAGCGAACCACCGTGCATGTCAGGTGCCCTTCCCATGGGACAACATTCTCAGCACTTGGGCTCCAGGAATCCGCAGCCAAACGCCAACGTTGGCATACATGAACACCAGTCTGATTTCACATTCCAAGCATCGTCGCCCGCCAAGGCGGAGTCTTGTAGCAAAAGATACCGTCCGGTCCAACTACCTATTGAGCCTTCATACATTCGCCTGATGGACGGCCTTTCGTGTGGAGATGAAGTCGAGCTGGGTTTGAGAGACCCACGTGATAATGCTGGCTTAGACTATCAAGGTGACAGCAGTAACAGGCAAGTAGAGCATGCATATGAGAATCAGCCAGTCTCGCAAACTACACATCGAAAAACGCCCTGGAGTCCAGGGAACATTTATACGCACTCGATTCCGTACGGATTGTCTGCTTCCGTTGAAACTTACCAGCGACCTCCACAATCCAGACCGACTAACGTATCTACAAATAGACTGTACAACGGGCCAAATATTGGCCGCGCCCAGCCCTCACCCAAAAGGTACCATCATCCCGGGAATTCAATCGAGAACGTAGTAAGTCCATATTTCAGAGATAGTCATAGCCAGGCCCAAATCTATTCGCCATCCGGACTCGCTGAACCTGACGGTAGTTCAAATCATTCCGACGTCTATCGGTCTCAAAGATCAACGATGGCAAAGTCTCAAGCTACTTGGCTTGAACCACGTGGCCTGAATGGGCTCTCATTCTTCGATTCCCCCGTCAGCCCTAGGAATGAGAGTGGGGGATTGACACGAAGCTATAATCGAACGGACTTGGACCCAAATATTCCCTCGCGTTATCGCCAGACCCGCCACATAGACTCGAAAAGATTAATTACAAGGCCAGAGACAGAGTGGCCGCAATACTCGAACAATGGCGTATATGTCTCTTCAGAAAATCAACCATCCTATGTTAGACAACCGACTGGATATGTTCGCACAGTACCATCTCCATCCTCTCAGAAGAGTCCCACACATAGCCGAATTGGGAAGGTATTATCATCCATGCCTTCTTTTATCTCGGGTCATTTTTCTGGTCGTTCACAGCTTCAATGGAAGAATTTACAACGCGCTGGTGTCAGAAGTAGCCAAAATGTGTTTGCCAGCTCTTCCCAAAACATACTCGGCCCTTTGTCTAAAAATATGCCTTCCGTATCTAGGCGGCGCAATATTGTACGATGACGGCCTTCAAGCAGGCGTGGGACCTGGATAATCATTACTCAAAGTGCTCGTTGAGTGGAATGCGAATGGGAAGCGATTGAATTGTTCTTATCGCGCTCTGCTTCTACTTTGTGTACTTGAAGGCGAAGCAGGTTTATCACTCTGTCGATTCAGGACTACCGCTCGCTGTTCGTCCTTGTGCCCTTTCCCTAAATGCACGGAATGTTCCTTGAGGAGAGATCTTTTTACTCTGCCAATATTTTATATACTCACTAGTTGATCTTTGAATATTGCCATGACCCGTCATTACGAAAAGCTATCCATTATTCACCCAACAAACGTCGCTCTCCCGCACGAAATATCAGTACCTCCACAAGCCCCCTCTTGCGAAAGTAAACATTATTGATTTCGCTAATTGCGCTGACCATGGCACAACTAACCAGTTTTCGATGAAGATGTGGGCCCTAGAACAACGGGTGCAGATGAAGTACCTGATGGCTTGAGCTTACATTTTGAGCTGGGAGCGTGAATCGGTGGTGTTGCCCATTTCACCATTCCGCCGAGAGGAAACATAGCATCACCGTCTAGTACAAGTCTCGTATTTTCGTCACCACAATGTTGTCGCACGAACTGAATTCAGGACGGGTGTCAAGCAACTTAAACTTTCCATTATAAAGCTTACTTAGTCGTTTGGCGCGGCTTCTCCCAGCAATGTTGGGGTTTTAGGCGGGATTCCCATGTTCCCAAGCCGACGGCAAATGAGCCGCTAGAGCAGAAACAGCAAGGCTCCGGGACGGTTAATTTACAAACAATTTAGCATGCAAGCTTCGGCAAACTAGGATCCAGTGACATGTGTTCTGTGGCTTTGGTCATCGTCACACGGAACAATCGAGACCAACGTTTCATGACCAGTCCTGAAATTGCCGCCCACATATCGACAGCCATTGTAATTGGCGCGTTGATTCGAACGTGGACTCTCCATTGTTTCTGCCGCTTCCACAAATAAAAATGCTCATTCCTTCGCACGAGGCACGAGGCGTGACCCACATCCCCAGTCGATCAAAGCTTCTTCACTACGCTTTTGGGAAACCCAATTTGTATCCCGGCCTAGAGAACCCAGTCTGCCATTCCATACGCATGAGTTTCATATTATGACCGAGCGAAATGATTTCCCATGAGGGGACGGCATGCAGCATCCCGGTCAGTAGCCGGCCAAGTGGTTATTTCCATGCCATATAGCTCTTTGGCTCTTAGTATAAAGAAGTCTCCGTTGCCCTATTTTGCTCGGAAGCCAACCATCCTAAGCTTTTACCAAGACAGCTTATTTCATTCCTTACAATGCTTTTCAAGAATCTTTTCGTTGCGGTCGCCCTGGCTGGCACCGCTTTGGCATGCCCTCACCCTAAAGCTGCTGCCCATCCCAAAGCTGGTGCTCAACCTCAACCTGCCGCTCATGCTCAGGCTAGTGGTGCAGTAGCGGCATCGCCATCTCCTTCTCCTTCTCCGTCGCCATCAGCAGCTCCAGCAAAAACCCCAGCCACGCAAAGCCAGTCAAATGGCAAACTGAAGTGGTTCGGCATCAACGAGTCTGGACCTGAATTCGGCGAGGCTAATATCCCTGGTCTATACAACAAGGACTACATCTGGATCGACACCAAACAAGTCGACCAGTTCCTCGCGCAAGGAATGAACATGTTCCGTATCAACTTCCTGATGGAGCGTCTGACGCCCAACTCGCTCACAGCCAACCTTGACTCCAACTACCTAGGCAACCTTACCGAAGCCATCAATTACATCACCTCCAAGGGCGCATACGCTATGGTTCAGCCCCACAACTACGGTCGCTTCGGCGGTCAGATCATCAGCGACACGGCAGCCTTCAAGACGTGGTGGACCAATGTCGCTAAGCAGTACAAAGATAACTCCCTTGTTGTATTTGACATTAACAACGAATTTCATGACATGGATCAGAATCTTGTCTTTAGTCTGAACCAGGCCGGGATTGATGGTATCCGCGCTGCCGGTGCGACCACACAGTACATTACCCCTGAGGGCAACAGCTGGTCCGGCGCCTGGACCTGGGTTTCCTCTGGCAACGCCGCATCGCTAGTCAAGCTCAAGGACCCCCAGAACAAGCTCGTCTTCCAGATGCACCAGTACCTCGACAGTGACGGCTCCGGCAACAACGCCGACTGCGTCAGCTCTACCATCTTCCAGGAGCGTCTTGTCGCCGCAACACAGTGGCTCAAGGACAACAAGCTCCAGGGCGTCATTGGCGAGTTTGGTGCTGGAAGCAATGCTCAGTGCCTTACTGCTCTTCAGGGCGGTCTCGACTACATGGTCAAGAACTCTGATGTCTGGCTTGGTGCTATCTGGTGGTCGGCTGGCCCGTGGTGGGGCAACTACATCTACAGCATGGAGCCGACGACTGGCGCTGCTTGGTCGTACATCCTGCCTAAGATCAAGAGCTACTTCGGCCACTAAAACCTGGCCTAACTTGAGAACTGTTTCATATGTAGAGCCAGACACGACTTTTGGAGTGCTCAGGATGGGGGCAAGGGTGCTCTTTTTTCTTCTTTTCTTTTCTCAAAAACTGTATATAACTCAGCTGGACTCATTCTTTTTGATCCTACTTCTTCTTTTCTATGTAGAGAAAAAAACACAACTTGACACTTTGTGCATATTTCAAAAAAGTTTGCCAATTTTTGACATGTTTCGTTTGTTATGTTAAGAACATCTTAAGCACCGCCCTCCCTCTTTGCATACTCGTCTTCCATTCTCTCCTCGTATTGCCTTCCTTTGGCACGTGCATCTTCCTCTTCAGTCACATCCTGGATTCGTCTCGCGTCCGTGCCGCGCGGATTGTCAATCTGCCTGCCGTTCGCATCGGTGTGGAAGCGCTCGATGCGTGGAGCTTCGCCCGGTGCTTGGTGGGTACGTTGTGTACGGGTGCCACTGGGGTCTGAGTATGTTTGCTCGGATTTTGAAACCGTCTGGCCGTTGATGGTTGTGGAGCTACTGGAGCTGGAGAAGGATTGGAAAGTTGATGAAGACATTGTGGGCTGTTTTGAGCGGAGTTGAATTTTCCTTGTATTACACTAGGGATTTGTTACGCAAGAGACTTTGGATCCGAAAGAATAGTGATGGGCTGCTTGTTTTATGTTGCTAGATGCGTGCTGTGATCTCATAGTGTGACGTCATAGGGTCTAGCGGTGGTGCCGACCCAGCAAATCGCAAAGAGCAGATTGAGCTAGAGAGATGTACAATGGCATCAAGGTCGAAGTTTAATGGAGGAACCGCATGCTTTAGGGTTGAGTAGTCACGGTTTGCCATGGGAAGACGGTGCCATGGAAGCTGACAGCCTTCATACAACCGCAAAATCATGGTTTGGACCTCTCAAGGCACAGAATCGATATGAACAATCAAAAGGTCGGGGTTATGTGGATCTGTGTTCCTGAATCAGCAGACCTTATTTGGCCCTCGATAGAAACTTGATACTGGAAATTGACTCGCGACGGTATGTTGTCGTTTGTAGTCATGATGAGCCTCGTGACAAGCTCTTTCTGTACTTCAAGCTTTTCCATTATGCTGTTGTGGGAGAGGAGGTAGCTCTTAGGCGATGATTGGGCGACCGTCATATCGGGTGTGTTAAATATATTGCGTTTCACGGCATGTTTCCATAACACCTGGGTTGAGATTATGTATTTTATCGCCAACTTCAGAGCAACAGATTAAGACGACTATCGACTGGGGAAACACACTGCTTTCAGAAGCAACGTATCATAAGTCCATTCCACGTAAGCTCAGTCACATGGAGGTTGGCTCGATGTAGACATCAGCTATACTATCACTCTATTCCTAATATATTTATACCGGGCTGGATGCCATGAAATATCATTGGAAATGCAATTTGCGGGAGCTATTCTTAGATGTATCGTGCATTACACAGATGAGAATAGAAAGAACTATTAATCCCCATTATTGTATGTATGATTTTGCAATTGGGTTACGAATGTATCACATGGTACATATCGCATGTCACGTGATCAATGTATGATGCGTGGCCAACGTCTAAACGGATAGCTATCCTGCTTCGATATCACATTCATGACATCCATCTCGTAATTGAACGGCCATAACATATAACCTTTTAATAGCAACATTAAGTCGCGGCAGTGGTCCTGTCAGGCTAGCTAGGCTCGCCCCACATGTGCGCCTCGCGACCGCGTCCCGCCCCTGACAGGCGAAGCCGAGGACCCGGTGGATGATAGATGGGTGGACACCACACCTCCGTCATTCACCACCACCCGCCCGCCATGCGCTTGCTTGGTGTGCCTCTTTTTGCTACCTTCTTGCAGTTGGCTCGTGGTAGCAGTGTTCCGAATGCGCTTGATTGCCATGGCCCAGAGGAGACGGACAACGTGAAGGAGTGTGCGCAACCCATCGCCGACGTCACGGCAGTAGTTCCTGGATCGTCATATATTGCGAAGATCAAATGCATTGACTGCCCCTTTGCCCTCCCGGAACAGGAGAAGGCCGAAAAGGCCGACTACTTACTGGTATGTTGTTGTTGTTGCTGCTAGATATGGCGTACATGTACTGAGATTTCAGTTGTTAAATGTCACTCTCACTCACGACAATCGCACCGTTTTGCTCAACAACCGTCCGCTATACCCTTTACCAACCATACCTACACCCTCGCGCTTCGACACCGCCCTTTACGCTACCAACCTTTCCAACGCAGAGCTGTCCCGCGGCCTGAAAAGCTCAAGCCCTTATTGCACCACTCCGACTCATGACTTCGACTCCGCTGAATGGTGCTTAAAGACTCCGCTTTGGCCGCAAACACGCCTGGAATTTGATTATCTCTACATTGCTGAATCAACCCAGTCCCAAAGCGACGATGAGCAAGACGATGCTGAATACTGGAACGTTTCACTAGACGCTATTGGAAGGTCAAGGTATCCCGATGATCCACTCTGGAAGTATGATGATTCCAAGCAAAACATGCTCTGGATGCTGGTCAAGGGAACACCGCTGAAAACGAGAAAGAGCCATGGTGGTGGGGGGAACAAGGCTGCCGATCCATTCAATGGCCAATCAGACTCCGAAGACAAGAGATACGAATACCAAATCGTCGACATGCGCCTTGTAGCTCGAGCATATACCTTTCCTGAAAACAAACCCTTGTCGCTATGGGGCAGAATCGGACATTTCCTCGGAAACGACGTCTGGGAAGTAGAAGGAAGCCGCTTCTTATACCGCAAAGAAGAATGGGGTCGCTACGGAAAGTCAGGCACCCTGCGTGATATGTTTGGTGAACTCGTGCACTGGCAGTTCTGGGACTTGTTTTGGATCATCTTCTTCAGCGTTGTTGTTGGCCTTCTTGCGCTATTTGGTCTCTACAAACTTTTCAGGTGGATTAGGGCACAGCGCGAACTTATGAAGTGGGATGGCATGGAGGATGTGTGGGAGAACATGAGGAGGGAAAGGATAGCCGAAGAGGAGGGTGCTCTGTTGCATGGAGAAGCCAGGTACACTGACGACCCGGAAGAAGGCGGCGGTTCGTCACGACCACCAGCGTATGAGGAGGCGATGAAGCCCTTGCCAAGCAAACCCCTCCCTGAGAAGCCGTTACCTGAAGTTCCGCTCATCGAGACATGAGGATGGTAACGTTATAGTGAAATCTTTCTTCATTTACATTGGCGTATACCCATTTGGCATTTGACACGTCAGCTTTTGTTCATTTCTGTTCTATCACTAGTCACTGTATCCTGTTTTATTTATGAAAATTGCAATGCGCATCCTTAGAGATAGTTATAGATATCCTCCAATCGGTCTTGCCAACGCTGCACGATATTACCCGGCATAATCTGCTTTCTCCACCTTTCGTTCCCCGAAGTAACCTGATTTCTCCACCTTTCGCCCCACAACTGTATGACAAACAAACAACGGTAGATAAATATAATATGCCCAAAGACTTGCGATATTCTTTTCAAGAATCTTTCAAGATACATGTCTTTTTCTTGATACTATTTGGAATTAAACCACAAAACAATCATGGTCAAAATCGCGGTAGCTGGAGGCACAGGAAGTATGCTGCCTCTCCCCATGTCCAAAATACCCCACTTGCATATTCGAATTTTTACATCATCGTGAAATGAATTGCATTGTAATAACGTCTCTCATTACCAGACGTCGCAACCTGCATGCTCAAAGAAGCAATCGCCTCCAACCAACACGACATCGTAATCTTCACGCGCTCTGCCCCCTCCAAGCCACACCCCTCCCCTAGAGTCTCCTACTTCCAGGTCGACTACACCTCCCGCGATGCCCTAACAACCGCTCTCCGTGGCGTCCACACCGTCCTCTCCTTCTTCGTCGTGCACCTCGACGTCGACAACATCGGACAGAAGAACCTCATCCATGCCAGCATCGCAGCAGGCGTATCCCGTTTCGCCCCATCAGAATGGAGCATCGCCAGCTATAGCGGCGTACCCAGCTACGTAGTAAAGGACGAAGTCCGCAGCTACCTCGAAGACCTGGATGCAAAAGGCGAGCTAAAGGGCATGCAATACTGTTTGTTCCAACCAAGCATCTTCATGGATTACTTTGCGCATCCGTACCCGCTCGAGCCCGATCTCATCACCTGGCCTTTCTTCATCGATTTCGAGAACAGGCGCGCGATGCTGCTGGATGAGGGAGATCAGCCAATTGTGCTGACGGCCATGCAAGACGATGCTGTGATTCTTGCAAAGGCGCTTAAGGATACGGAAAGGCCTTGGCCCAAGCTTGGTGGCATAAGGGGATGTCAGACTACTATTAACGAGCTTATTGCGCTGGGGAAGAAGTTGCGGGGCGGCGAGTGGTCGATTGAGCGCGTGTCTGGTGCTGATATCAAAGAGGGAGAGCTCAAGACGAGTTGGATTCCGCAATTTTCGCATCCGACGATGCCGGAAGATCAGCAGGACGTTTTTTCAAAGGCGTTCGTGGTTATGTTTATGCAGGCGATTCTGAACGGGTCATGGAATGTGAGTGCGGAGTGGAATGAGAGGTTTCCCGATCACAAGTTTATCGGTTTGGAGGAGTATCTTACCAAGGCTTGGGAGGGTAAGCCGTATCCGTGCCAAGGCTTAGCTTATTAAGCTAAGTCAGCTGCGCTGACACTCGCCGCAGGCGAGTGCCGACGCTCAATACGATATTACCATCAATACGATATTTTTTTGCAACTCCATTACTTTAATCCTCACTTATAGCCCCCACAATGGCTCAATCT